GCCCCGTCCCGCCGCCAGCGGTTCTGCTGCTCCGGCGCCTTCCCGTGCCAGCACATCCCGCAGCGCTCGCGTGACAGAGCCCGGCAAGGGCAATCAGACGAGCTGCTTGTGAGCTCGTGCAATTCAAAAGCCATCTCTACCCTAGGATAAATTTAAAGCACGTTCATCACTTTCAAGTATTTTCTGTATCATTTAAAAAAAAAGGGAAATGCAAAATACCTAACATTTTTAAAATACAAGCTATTTTCCTGAGGCATAGCTGCTGTCACATTAATTCCCAGCCCCTGTGTCAGCTCTGGGTCAACAGATCTGCTCCCTGGCCAGGTCTGCAAAGGGTTTCAAGGGGATTTGAGCCCTGGGCATCAGGTCAGTGGGTTCCAGGGCAGGGACGGGGCGGCAGAGCTTGGGGTCAGGGCGAGCAGCTCTGCTGCTGTGGGACTGGTGAGGAGGGAGGGAGGGAGGCTGGGGGCACTGGGAGGGAGCAGCTTCCAGAGGGATTCATTGCACAGCCCGGGAGCGGAGCTTGTCCCGAAGCGCAGAGCTTGACTCAGCACCCTGCTCTGTTCAAACACCATGTGTTTGTATTTACAGCAGGATGGTCAGGGTGGTAGCAGGCCTGTGACCTCCTCCCACGTAGATAAAGCATCCTCCTGTGATTTGATAAACCTTTGGCAGTGAGCTCAGTACAACGCCAGTGGCCAGACCGGGAGGTCTCTGTGGGGATGGAACCACCACCCCCAAGTCCGCAGCCCAGGGCGAGCGGGCGAGGACATGGCAGACATCGGCAGCTGGTGAATGATGTTTGTGCTTTTTAAGCGTCTGAGGGCTTTTAAAACTTCAGACACCAAATGGTTTCCAGTGAAAGCAGCTAATGGCAGTAATGGGAGTGTGACTGTGCCAAGAGAGGACACTGAGCAAACTGATAGGTTTTGTACCGAGATCCTTCCGCAGTGCTGCTCAGGGACCTCCTTCTCTACGGCTTTGTGGGATCGCTTTTACAACGTGCTGTGAAGACCTCGAGATTTTGTAGGGTTGTTTCCATTTGCAGCGTGCTGTATGATCTCAAAACAAATTGAATTCAACTTCTGTGATCCACAGCTCAAATTTTCCACTGCTTTCCACATCGGTTTAAATCTATGTGTTGAGTGGCAAGTACAACACGTGTATTGCAGTTGGAAGGTGGATTTCAGAGCTGCCATACCAGGTCCAGGTCTGAAATCGTGTCCCACAGATGTAGCTCCATCTGTGTCAGCTGTGGCTTGAAGGAATTATGTTGAAAATTCAATGTTTGTGGCTAAAACATGCAGTGTGATGAACCTCCCCCTGAGTGGGAATCGCCTGCTGTCTTCGTGGCCACCATCTGAAAGTTTTTAATGAAGAAACCATTTCGGTGGTAAAGTGGGAAGATCCAGCAACGGTCTCTGCCGGCACAAAGTGCTTCCGTCACTTTTTAAATTTTTTTTTATTGATTTATGCATATCATCTCACAGTTACAGATCTCAGGGGCAGAATGCACCATATGAGGTGATCTTTCTGATAGCGTCTTTGCACCGGATCTGTGCGTAGATGTTCCTCTTCTTAGGTGTGCGTTCCCTAGATAGCTTGCACCAAATGGAGAGAAAGGCAAATACCCTTTCCCTCCACCCCCAAATGTTCCTGAAAAAGTTTCAAGGCTGGCTTGGGTTTAGGTGTACATATTCGTACACTCTAATGCGTTAAAAATGGGAAAAGAAACACGATCAGTATCCATGTTTTGAGGTGTTAGCGTTGCACCAGCATACGTGGTCTTTTGGGGAGGTGGTTTCTTGCACTCCTCGTTAACTTTCTGTGGCTTTCAACACCGCTTTTCCTTGTGAAAAGAGAAAATGGTTTCATTGCCATACAGGAAAATCCTATCAGCAATCTGGTTTCATTTCTAGACTTTAAAAAAGTTCAGATAACTTCTCCTAGACTGATTGAACACTTCGAAGTGCCTAGGTTTTTTTTTTGTTCTCGTTGGACTGACCGGGCGAACAGACAGATCTATAGATTGAACAGGCTGTGTCGCAGGGGTAGCTGCCGTGGAAAGCGTACTGCTCTGTCTGCGGCGGGGCCTTCAGTTATGGTGATATTAAACGAGAAATTTCATTTTTCCAGCTACACTTTCCCTCACTATAAACTACTTCTTCCTGTAAAATTCTCTGAACTCCTGTGATGGAAAATGCAATGTATGAGCCAGATGCTTTTAACAGCAAACCTGTGGGTAATAACCAAGCTTGTATTTTTTTCACCTTTTGCAATGAAAAGATTTCTAAGGAAGATTAAACAGCAACTTCCAAACTATAGTTCCACTGCTAGTATTGATGTTGATGTTCTTTCCCTGTGTTTCCTCTCTGTAGTCCGCTTCGCACCTTACAGACCTCCCGACATCTCTCTGAAACCGCTGCTCTTCGAGGTGCCCAGCATCACCACCGAGTCCGTCTTCGTTGGCCGGGACTGGGTGTTCCACGAGATAGACGCGCAGCTGCAGAGTTCCAACGCCAGCGTCAACCGAGGTGTCGTGATCGTCGGGAACATCGGGTTTGGAAAAACCGCCATCATCTCCAGACTGGTTGCGCTCAGCTGCCATGGCACACGTATGAGACAGATTGCTTCCGACAGCCCGCACGCCTCGCCGAAACGTAAGTACAGCAGCGCGCGGGTCTCCAAAAATCCGAGATCTTTTCCATCAGCTTTTATAATGGTTTTGGCTGGAAAGATCCCATTCTTCAGGCCCAAGGAATCAGCTTAGTCTTTATTGCCAAGCAAAGGAAGCACCTGTCGACAATATTTATACTGCTCCTGTTCCAAATCTACTTTTTGAAGAGTCAGAATAGTCTGTCGCTTCTTTCTCTGACTTTAAAACATCTCTGATTGGGAAGACTCCAATTTTAATTGCCAATATTCTGTTATTACAAATCCATGCTGGTGCATTCTCCTTCCCATACGGTTTGTTTATCTCAGTTTGTCACGCTGTAGATGTTTAGGGTGGAACACAAGGCACCCAGCATTGCTCTGCCTCTTGGGGTCCCATCCAGTTCACGTCGCTCTGCGCTGACGTGTTTGCGGGTGGGGATGACAGCATTTTAAAATCATTCAGCTCTCAATAAGCGAATAAGACAGGACTAAAAATACTGGGTTAGGTACCTGAAGGTATCTTGTAAGGATTTAGGTCACTGTATCTCAGTTAAACTGGAGTTAAATCTGTTTACCAGAGTGCAGTACCCTTAGCCATGTCAGAATATCTGAAATGTCACCAGTCGTTGGCATCTTGAATAGCGTCACTTGTCAAAGCTAAATGAACAATCCGGAGTGAAAGGCAGGGCTTGTTGCTGAACCTTCACTGCAGCTCTGCAGTGCACCAAGTGTATGTCTCCCCAGTCTGCTTAGAGGGTTTGTGGACATCAGAGAGACAACTGTACTTAGCTGTTTCTGGACTAAAAGCTTGGATATTTCCACAAGAAAGTGCCCTGCATCTTTCATGCCCGAAGGACAAAGATCCTTGGTCACAACTAACGCGCTGTTTGGTTCGCACTCTGCTTTGGCCGTGGAGTTGAGAGCTGAATGGTTCCTCAGTGTTAGTTATTGGGATGGAGACCTGCAGAATCAATCAACAACTTTATTTCCTAAAGAGATCACAAGATATGGAGGATAAAAATTATTATGCTTAGTAAAATCTATGTTTAATAATAAACGCTCATTGCCTGACCTGACTATGCTACAGCAGTAGAGCTGTCGGCGTTAGTAAACTGGCATAAATACAGCCTCAGACTTCAGACTCTTAATTCCTGTCTCTGACGAATAGTGCAGGTGAAGGTGGTGTTGCATGCTCAAAATAAGAATGGGCATCATTGTGAACACATTCAGGGTTTAATTATGTAGGCAGTAGTCGTCCTCCCGTGCTGTTGGCCATTAAATGGGTCATTGTCTGCCTGATGATTTCAAGTCAAGCCCAAGGATGCTTCGCAGCAATCCGTTCAGGGCTGTACTCTGCGCGTTCAGACTATGCTGAAGAGGACTGTTGCTTTTAAAACATTCCTAAAATTCAGAAATTGGTAATTAGGCATCATCAAGCACTGCATGTCTTAGTGTCATTCAGAAATACTCTGTATGCTTACCTGTGGGTGAAAATGCGTGTGGTTTGGAAACGTGACCCAGGGAGGCTGGGTGAATGGACAGTTGTAGCAATCTAGTGGCAAAGCCAATTTCTGCTTTGCCAGGTGAGAGAAACAGCTCAAACACAGCAGAAAGCAGTTAAACTCGTCAGAGATGATTCCAGCATAATTCATTAGTTGCTTGCAAGCCTTTTCCAGATCCTGGTGCTACTCCTGCTTCTCTCCCCCCGATTACATTAATGGGCTTCAGATGGATGTGTTAGCTGTGGCTCTCCATTTTATTTATGTCATAAAATAGGCACATAAGTCAGAAAAATTGGCTGTCTCCACTGAAGAAGGACTCAAAACCAAATTAACCAGCGATTGTTCATAACGAGGGACAATCTATTGGCAGAACTGCAGAGTAGGAGAGCACTGCCCTAAAATATCCCAAACTCGAAGACAGAGCTTACTTTCAGGAGTGCATAATTCACTCAATTATTGCGATTATTTTAAAGTCAGTGAAATTACAGTGGAGAAGGTGAATAAGACAAGCTCCACGCTGTATCTTAGCAGTCCTTCCCAAAAATCTTGCTTCCAAAGGAAGGTTCTTAGGGAGCTTCTGGCTTGGCTGGACGGTGTCACAGTCTCTTGCTGCCTGAAATCCTGACCACAGTATTTGTGGAAAGTATTGGTAACTGTCATGCGTGACCTGCGAGAGAAGAGCAGCTGCCTAGTCTGTCAGAATGTCGGTCGTGCTTGTCCGGTAGCCATTCATACCCTCTTTCCTTGGGACAGATGTGGATGCAAACCGAGAGCTGCCCTTAACCCAGCCGCCTTCTGCTCACTCGTCGATCACCAGCGGGAGCTGCCCGGGGACGCCCGAGATGCGCCGGCGCCAGGAGGAGGCCATGCGGAGACTCGCTTCCCAGGTACGGAAACATTCGCCTCGGGATTCTTCTGATCCTTGGGAACATGTTGATTAATGGAACGCGTTGGAAGGTCTCCTGCCTTACGTCACTTGGGGCGCTGGAAAATGTGTGCGTGCAAATGCTTACTGGGGGAGTCTAGAGAAAAACTTCTGGCACAGATTTTATGACCCTAGGAAAGTTATTTCTGCACAGATGACATTCCCGTTACATCAGATACACACTGCTCTGAGAATTTATCTTTCCCAGCCATCGTACTTTATCCTTGCAAGTGTTGTGGCATGACATAGTTACCAGAATAATTGCAATTTTTCTGCAGCAGTGAAAGCAGAATTGCCAGAGCGTTTCGTTTTGAAAAGGGCAGGTATCGCACGGTGGGTAGAGGGGCAGGCGGTGAGCGTTGCTGCGCTGCCTGCGCCTCGGCGTCTTTTGGAGAAGTCTGCGAAACAGATCGTAGCCTTTTGAGCGATACCCAGAGCGCTTGCTGTTACGCCAAGAGTGGAGTGTGTGTGACACGATCACTTACTGTAGGTGAGATTTACAGCTTGAATTTTATTGTATTACTGCGATTTCGCCCTGCGTTTGTGGTGGCGGGAAGGTGCCGTTCTATTGCTTTGAAATCGGAGGAGCTTGCTCCTCCTCCACCTTCTGAGAGGATCCGAGCTGTTGATGCCTGCCTGTTGCCTGCTCCCACTGCGGAGAGGAAAATGTCAGGCAAAGTCTTTGTACGAAATTCTTGCCAGGATGTGTTTGGCTTGGCTTTTTGTGCCAGATACTGTCTTGCCCTATCTGCTTTTCAGCTGCACCCAGATGGCAAAGCAGAGAGTGTGCGGTATCTGCGTAAATAAATATTAAGACCTGATAGTCTCTGCTTCCACGTGGAGTTCGTGAAAGGAATGCGGTGGCCAGGTCTGGTTTTGTTCAGGACGCATTAGTCATCATATTCCTTGCAAATCTTAAGCATTGCAGACTACCAGAAGGGCCAATAAAGTGTGGTATCTCTGCTTAAAATACCTCATCTATCTGGACTTTCTTCCCCTGAGTGCATAAGTAATCCTGCTGGCTACGTAACTGATAAATGGATGCAGTTTAGGCTTCATTTTGCTCCTGAGAAAGGTAAGGGATATGTCTCTTTCAAACAGCGTACGGTCACATCCACTGCATAGATCATGCACTGAAGCTTTTTTGCCTCTCTGATCACTGGAGAAAAGAGCAAGAAACAATCTTTATAGCCAAAAATAAAGTAAAAATAGGTTGTTATACCTTGGCTGCCGACTCCTTTAGAGAGGGTTTTAAAGCCCTGCTCATCCCCTAGCCAGAATTTTTTTGCAAAACAAATCCTGTATTTTGCTGTCAGAACATGACAGATGAGCTGGGAAGATGTACTGCCTCTCGCGCTAGCAGCGGGATTACTGCAGACTTTTAGTACGGTTGTTAATCTCCCAGTAAATCTCGACTACTGTAAATGTAGGCAGATTCCAGAAATAACCATCACCGCCTTCCAAACGTTAGGCCCTCATGAAAAGATCAATGCCAAGGCTGAGGAGTTGACCTTAGAGCACTTGGAATCGCTTCTCCTACCCGAGGAGCTGACACAGCATGCGGAACTTCTGAGAAGCTTCGGCGTGTTGAGCAAACAGTCCCGGGGATGAGTCAGAGCAGCAGCGGCACGGCTTGATTCAGCAGTCGGAGACCTTGGGTCCGTTCCCAGCTCTGCCGTTAGCCTTGCTGGGATCCCTGGAGACCGGCGTCTCATCTGCCTGCCTCCATTTCCCTGCCTGTTAAAAGAAAAGTGATCCGTGCAGAGAACGGGCCTTTGATACCTGCTGCTGGAAGGAGCACGTAGCTGGGTGTTCCTTGGTTGTCCCAGCTCAGGAGAGCAGGTGCCTGCCGGGTGGTGCTGCAGTCTGCGCCTGGATGAAGCCACGCGTTGAAATACAGCCCATGCTTAAATCCCAATTCAGAGCTGCATTTCCTGCCACAAAGGGAGACTTCTGAAAGCACAGGAGAATTTTTGGTTTTCCTGATTTTTTTTTTTTTTTTTCCCCTGACTTCCATGTT